TAATTAATTTAGTTGAGCTTTGTCTAAAATCTCTGGTTGCAGCTTCTCAAATGTGAATACCAAGCAAACTAACTGAAGGGTATGTAAACATTCGTTCACAGGAAGGATTTCCTAATGTTCCATGAACATGAACTTTTGGTACAATATGTGAGGTGTGGTTGAGGCTGTGTTAAGTAAAATGAATCATCTTGTACATGCATGTCACAAATTGAGGTTTAATATTAAGAAATTGGAGTGTAGGGGGACTTTTCTAAAGAGAAATCATAACACAAAACATTAAAGAGCAAAGAAAAATAACTCAAACCATTTTATTTTTCCTTAAAAAGATATTCTTTATCAAAACTGCATGCACATTCCTTTATTCCCAGAACAGATCAGGGGGAATTAGAGCTGCAGCAAAATAAAAATAATCAACAAAAATAAATCAGCAGTCCGATTCAGAAAGTTTCAGAGTGTGGTTTGTTTAGGATCTTTCACTCGACAGGAGCAGCCAGCACAGTGTCCAGCGCACTCTGAGCCTCCTTTATCTGTTGCTGTAGTCTCTGCTTCATGGCTTCATTCTGGGCTTTCTTCAGCATGTCCTGCATGTCTCTGATGGCCGCCCGGTAACCCGGGGCGTTGTGAAACACTCGGATGGCCTTGTCGCCGCTGCACACCAAGAAGCGTCCGTTAATGTCAAATCTAAGGTCGTTGATCGGCACGCTGTGGACGCCCTGCATTTCCTCCTCCAACTTGCCGCTGGCAGCGTCGTACAATGCCAAGTTACAGCCGTCACTGATAGCCACCACCCGGCCGTCTGGAGACAAGGCCGCAAGGCTCCCTTCAGATGACACACAGGAGACTGTCTTCAGGAGGTAGGGATCCTGCTGCTTTTTGTACTCCACATTTGTGTTCCACAGCTTCCATGTGCCGTCTTTAGAGACAGTCACCATTCTGATTAAAAGAAATGATAAAGAAAGGCAAAATTGGTGACACTGCATTTTAAAAAGAATAGACAGTTGGTTGCTAAGTTGAACTGGAAACAGCAATAGTTAAAAGACCATGAAATTATTTCTGAGACAAGTTTGACTGTTACTGATGATTTGCAGTCAAGAGTCATGAGAGTGATGAGACCCAATTAAGCAACAAATCCAGGTGACAGTGTCATTGTTTCTCAAAGTTTTAGTTTCTGCCCGTCCAACAATGTCTTTTTCAAAGTTCTCTTTATTTCAGGGGCTTGATAACTCTAAAGTAGCAAGCAGCAAGTGTACAAATTGCAGCAGCATAGTAGTGGATGTGACTTAGTTTCAATCAAAAAGCTTTTCTTACCTGTGTGAGTCATTGGAAAAGGCAAAAGCGTGAACTCCGGCAGAGTGACCCTTCAGGTCGAAAGCTCGAGCCACCTCTTTGAACTCTCCTCCTTTCCCGAAGCAAACCTCCCACACCTTCACGTCAGGGGTGAAGCCACATGATGCAACAAACCTGAGCACAGAGATGAATGACACAAACAATCACATCTCTGCCAAAGTCACATACAGGGTTTTTCTCTTGTTGTGGGTGAATAAGTGTCATACTCTATAGCTCCCTAATGGATCTTTGAGTGGAAGGTTTGAGGTGATGGAGAGGGGTGGGACTTACCTGCCACATGGGGAGATGGCAGCATAGGAATTGGTTATCTGGTTAGTGTTGATAGAGGCCAGTACCTCTCCTTTCAGGTCCCAGATGTGGATGCTGGTGTCAGTGGAAGCGCTCATAATGAACTTGCCTGCACAGAGTAATGTTTACATGTCGCCTGGCAGATTCATCTGGGCAAAGAGTGTCTACACTAAAAACAAAACAGAAATGCCCTTGGTATCTTTGTTCATTACTGGCTTAAGGCAGAAATAATATGCAAAAAGAAAAACTACAAACTCATGCGGGACATTTGATGTGTTCTGTACCTGTCTCTGCGATGCCAATGTTGAGGATGGGGGCCTTGTGTTTCTGTGGGAAGTCCTCAGGCGCAGCTTTGAAACTTAAAGTGCCGTCATCCTTCTTGATCATTTTGAAGATTCTAATTGCATCTCCATTGGCCAACCAGGTGATGAACGCTCTACATTGTCAGAGGGAGTGGAGTTAATCATGTGCCTGTATCCTAACATTACCTCCAGATGAACCGATGGCAGAATTATACTCTGGAAATCTACATCAACGGGTCTATTCAGAGAGTGAGACCTGGAGTCCGGGCTGAAGCGGACCAGTGTGGCATGATCCAGCTCCACATTGGCTCTCAGACACTTGTGTTCCCGGTCCAGGAAGTCTTTGGTGCTCCAAATCCGCACAGTTCGGTCATCAGCGCAGGAAGCCAGATATTTGCCATTACTGCTGAAATCAAGGCACGTCACATTCCCACTGTGGGCCTGAAAAGAAAGGGACAAACACACATATGCTCAAAGATGAAGAAAGATAAAGATGCAAAAAAATGGGTCACCGTCACCATCACCCATACACTTAGTTGCCAGTTAATTGAGTCCATCTCGATAACACTGGTGAAGCCCTGTGCAGCCCTATTTTGATTAAAGTGTTTGATATTTCTAAAATTGTGTCTACCCCATTTATGTCAATGACAAAACCCAATAGAAAACAGGAACCTTTTGGATCTCTGTCGTGTTGTTATTGTCCTCAAAGGCTCTTACAGTGTGTGTAGTGTGTGTATCAGTGAGAGATGCAGTTTACCTTCAGTGAGGAAGCCAACAGCGGATGGCTGAAAGTGTGCTGTGTGGCTTTATCCTTACGACTACGCTGCTGCTTCTCCTGCTTCTGTTTCTTGGGTGCAGCGCCTTTCACAACACTGGCTTCAGCTGAAAGACAAACAAGGTACTGATGAACACAGTCTTCATGATACCAGATGACCATGGAAACTGACGGAAAACAAACAAAGCTTCACATTTTACTGCTAATCCAGAAGTATGGGTTGAAACTTGTGTTCCTTTCACCATTTATATTCCAAGTTAAAAATCAGGAAGAAATACTGTTATTGTAGCATGTAAAAACTTTGGACCCTTCACTTGGCAAGGATTTTTGTATCTCAACTGCAAGAGATCTCACAGCTCGGGGACACCTCTGGCTATCTGTCAAAGGGGCAAAGTTCTGATTTAGAATTACACAATTTTGCTTTTTACCCTTTTCTTTTCATAAAATATAATATAAAGTATAAAGTATGACATCTTAATCATTAAAATTAACCCACTGATTTATGTGTGTCTGTAATTGATACCAAACACGTACAGCGGACAAAATGTGCACCGATAAAAATAGTTGAACTTTCTCTGGTTTCTTCTCCTCGTTCTTTGCTCCTTGTCTTGTTCTGTAGTTTGGTTTTGTATTTAGTTCATGTTCCTCCATATTAACACAATCAGTAGACAATGAATGGCCATAAAGCTGTCACCCCATTGGTCAGTCGGTGCAACATGTGTTCACTGGACGACACTTGACAGTCTCCAAAGTTGCTTTTGCTTTTCGTTGGTGGTGTGTGTCGCTTTGTGAATGAATCGCAGACACACTCCCATCACTGACTGTCCGTCCACGGTGCTTGTGAGTGACTGCAGCCGCAGAAACGTGCGGGAGCGCCGGGCAGTGATGGTGAGCGGGTCAGTGACTCACCGCTCCGGGGGCTAGCTACAGTTTCGTTAGCCCGTCCGATCGCGGGTCTTACCGGCAAACTCCGCCGCCTGCTCCGCTTCCTCTCGTATCTCCTCCTTCCGCTTGCCCACCGCCAGCGCCACCAGCACCACCAGAGCCCCCAGCAACAAGGTCAGGGCGACCAGAGCAGACACCTCCATGTCCAGAGCTTCTGCCACGTACCTCTCACCGCTATCAGCTAAGGTAGCTTCAGCCCTGCTACCAACCAATGAGTGCCTGTGACACACGAAGGCGCATGCGCACATAGCTTCTTCGTTTTATTTCCTTCTGCAGTAACACAGAGATGACCGCCCCCTACAGGACTGGATCATGAAAAGGTGTTTTGAGGTTAAACCTTTGGCTTAACTAATTTTTAGATGCAATGAAAACTAAAATGCCACTTGTACCTCCATGGCTCATCATTTTTGAATGTATTTGGATCTGCACCAAATTGCACAAACTCATAAATATCCATTAAAGTAAAATGTGGATGTAAATAAAAATGTGTACACTAAAAATGACAGAAAATTGTGGAGTACTAATGTTTTCAGATGGATTGTCAGCCTGTTTAAAAAGACTGAATATGAATAAAACAGCTATACAAGCATCAGACCTTGGTCTGGAGCCTTTTCCATTGGTCACATTGGAGGATAACAATATAGGACCTTGAAAGGTTTCCACCACCAGTGTGTTCTTGTTGGATCATCCATGTTCAAAATTCAGTTTTTATTGTTTCAAAATCTATCCATCAAAAACTGCATCAGATACTATCCACTTTCTACAAGGGGAGAATTTTACTCAGAAGGTAAAATAAATAACTCATTCAATAGTTGACATCAATCAGTTAACCACCATGTTTGCTTGACAAAATTCTTCACCTTATTGTGCAAATAAGTCATAAGATATGACAAAGATCCCTGCATCATCAGTGAGAATTACCTGTAGGTAAGGGCTCCAATTCAAAAGATGTGATAAAACCTCAATGTAGTGTAATTTATTGGAACTGTGATATTTCAGAAGTGGGGAGAAAATGTTGTTCCACAGACGTTTGAAAGGAAAAAAAAACTTCACCATATTTATTAAAGTACATCTGTATTAACAGTAGTTAAAGGTAAAATTTTATGAATCGAGCCAATGCTGTATGGTTTGTTATTTTTTTGTGAACTAACAAGACTTTAGAGCCTGGGAGGTAAAGAGGTAGTCTGGCACAAACAAACACGTCTCAGGATGTAAAGATGAGATACAGATCACAGGTTGTTTTCACAGGCATGAAGTTGAAGAATTGGCTTTGGTTCGACAGCACAAATTAAGAGTAGTCATCCTAATCATATACTGACTCCGTAATTACATCCGTGTTGGCATCGCTACCAAAACAAGGCTGCCCACATGAGGACTCTGGGAATGCTTGTAATGACAAAGTATGAAACAAAAACACAAGGGTCTTCACTAACTACATTAAGACATTAACTAAGTTGCCCTTAAGTGCAGAAACACATCACTCATTTACAGGGTCAGAGATCCAATTAAAAAAATAATTTATAATGCACACGACTCATAACTTTACATTTACACTGCAGCGTTGTGTACCATATCTGAATTAACTGTGCATTTCATCCAAATCAGACTCATTCAGAGAATGTACTCAAATATTCAGAGACATACAAACCAGCGAGCGCTTCACGTAAAAAAATAAATGTTTGAGCTGAGGCTCTGTGTCTTTGTGTGACTCCACTTTCTCCTTAAGACGAACCAATTGGAGTGTCCACATACTGTTAAAGGAAAAATAACTTTGGATATGCTTTTTGTTCAGAATCAAACTATTCAATTGTCTTTTCTTCCTCTTCAAGTAATGTACATTGTTCTGGGTTCTATCTCTTCACTGCTACGTTCCCTCACTGGGTCATGTAGTCATTCAGGCAGCCTGAACTCAGCAAGCTGGTGTGCTCATTCTAACTCCTCTGCAAACAATGTTTAGGGCCAGCACAATCCCACTGGAGGAGGTGTAGGAGGCAGAGTGGATGATGACGGCCTGGTTGGGGTTTGTTGAGCTTAGAACAGAGCAATGTTAGCCAGGTTAGCCATAATAGCAGCAGCAGCAGAAGTCCCCTGAAAGCAGTGATCGACACAAGTAACAGGCTATTTCTTCCTGTTGTGTTGTCTCCGCGCCTGCAGCCTCTGACGTGCTCCAGATGTCTTAGATCCAGCTCCAATAGAGAAGGAGGGAGCCGCTGGAGACCCTAATTTTTAAAATGAAAAAAACACGGGGCATGTCATTTCTAAGGAACAATAAAATGTATTTCTTATTCTTTCTACTACTAACCATGAACATTCATTGCTAGTTGACTACGTTAACTAGCACCTGAATTTTGTGAATTTTCATCTAATAATTTTGGTCTTTTCATTAGTTATATTTTGGAATGTTCTCTAAAAATGCACAATGGTCATAAGTTTTGAGGAGCATCTCTAGTGCGAGACTCCTGAAAAAAAGGTAGTGATCAAACTGGATAGTAAACAGCAAATGATACCAGGGAAGTCACAGCATTAAAGACGTACCAAAAGGAACAGCATTGAAGCCTTGGACAGGAGTTCCAGGACTTCCAAAGGGAATTGGACCTGCAGCAGCACTCTGGCCAAATGATGGGGTAGATGTTCCTGCAGAGAAAGCACCACAAAACTTGATTAAACATGAATAACTGGGGCTGAAAAAACAATTCAGCTTGGATACAAACAAATGACAGTTAGTTATGAAACACACCACGAGATAATATTTTTGAATCCCACTGTAGAACCCACTTAAACAAGCAAAACATACAGTGCATTGTCATTACTCCTTACCAAAAGCTGATTTGTCAGTAGCAGCAGCCCCAAAGTTGAAGCCTCCCATTTGTGGTGCAGGATTATTGGCAACTGGTGTTCCAAACTGAGGGCACGGTATACCAGCACCACCAAAGTTGAATCCACTGGGTGCCGGCTGAGATGGACCAGAGGCAGCTGGCTGAGGAGCAGCACTACCAAATGTGAATGTGGCTGAGGAGGAGCTCTGAGTCTGGGTTGCTGCACCGAAGCTCGGAGCAGCAGTGGGTGCAGCCGGTGGAGCAGTGGTTCCACCAAAAGCAAAACCAGTGGAACCAGCTCCAAATGCTGGTTTAGCTGGGGTCCCAAATGTAGTTCCTGTGGTGGCAGCAGCAGACCCGAAATTGAAAGGAGCTTGGGCGGGATTAGGAGCAGGCGTGGATGATGCTGGGTTGCTTCCAAAGGGGAATGGTTTTGGTTGTGCTGCTGAGGAGCCAAAGTTTGACTGCATTGCTGGCGGTTCAAATGACGACTTCCCAAAGGGGAAAGTGGACTGGGTGGGGGCAGTAGCAGTGGTGGCTGCAGCATTGGCCATAGCAAAGCCTCCAAATGAAGCAGTGGTTGAGTTTTGGCTGGGCGCTGGCTGACCAAAGGCAAATGCCTTCTGCTTGGCAGCTTGAGGGTCCGCCTGTGTGAGACCAAATGTGAAGGCTCCATTGCTGGAGGTTGTGGTAGCAGCAGCAGCTGGGGCAGGGGCAGCTGCAGTAGTGGTGGTAGCAGTTCCAAACTGAAATGAGCTCCCTGTATTAGGGGCCTGCACTGTGGCTGAGCTGTTACTTGTTGTAGATGGTGTGGACCAGTTACCAAAGAGGGACTTCACACTTGGTTTGGTAGCAGGTTGTGTTGTGGTGTTGATGGCGCTGGTGGAAACTGTTCCCGTGAGGGGGTTGGTCAAGCCAGGAAAAACAGATGAGGCAGCTGTGGTGCTGCTTGTTGATGCACCAAATATTGAGGATGTACCAGTTGCTGCAGAGACTGGGTTGGTGGTTGTGAGGGTGGCAGGCTGTCCAAAGCCAGTGACTGCAGTGGCACCTCCGAAGATGGGCTTGAAACTTTGGACAGGAGGTTTGCTCTCTGGAGCTGATGTAGCTGACGACGAGGATGTGGTGGTAGTGACAGCGAAAATGGGCTTGAACCCTGAAGCCAGCAGAGGGTTTGTGTTACTCACTGACTCAGAGCTGCTGGCTAGGGCGGGGGCAGCAGTGATCGGGTTAGAGGCTGTAGGAGCAGAGAGCGTGCTGCTCTGGCTGGGCAGTCCGAAAAGTGTTGGTCCTACTACAGGTGGGGTGCTGCTGGAAGACTTCATGACCTGACTCAGGACCTGAGTGAAGGCAGAGGGCTGCTCCACACCAGCAGTGGAGGACTGAGACGGGTATGCAGGGGGAGGCCGTGGGGAATCCACTGCAGTTGTTACCTTCAAGTTTAAGCCACTGGGTTGCACTGGTGTGGTTAACACAGACACTACAGACAATGATAACAAATAGGGAGGGTAAAAACATGATGGAATCCATCAATCATATGACAATAATCAAAAGGTCATGAAATACAGGAGATGCTTTGGATATCGGATAGTAAGAAAGTATACCACAACTTGAAAATACGAACAGAAAAAATATAAGTGGAACATTATATTAATAATGGACCCATTTTCAATCAATATATTTGGGGATTTTTTCCCCCCAACTTCAGTATGATATTAAAACAAGACTTCTATGTGTATTT